AAGATTTTGATAATAAAAAAAAGGATAATAGTAATAGACAAAACATATGCACAGACAGACGAACAAAGAAAATAAAAAAGAGAAGGAAATAAAGGCTGCAGCTCAATTCTTCATTTGCATATTTGATTGTATGTGGGTGAGGAGGAATGTGTGTGTGTATGTATGTATGTATGTATGTATGTATGGATGGATGGATGGATGGATGTACGTAAGGACATATATATGTATGTATGTATGCGCATGGATGTAGGTGTGTTTACGTGTGTGTGAATGTGGGAGAAAAAAAAACACACCAACATATTGAGCAAATGCATCGCAGGGAAATGAGAGAGGTCCTGGCGCAGCAAGCACCTGCAAGCACCTTTCCCGCGAGAGCCGTGTTAGTCCCCTAATGTGTCCTGAGAGGGTCCTCGCCCGAGACAGAATCACCGGGGCAGGTGAGGACGAGCGCGTTCTGGGGCGTCGCGGCGGGAGCGAAAGGAATCGGAAACCGCGTGGGCGGCTCCGTGTGGGCGGGCGAGGGGGGAGGGGGTGTAGAGAGATGGAGGGAAGGGAGCGAAGAGAGGGAGGACGAGAAAATGAAAAAAGTGGAAGGTGGGAGGAAAGAGGAATGGAAGGAAATAAGGAGATAAGAATAGGGAAAAGGGTAAATAGATAGATGATGATGCACTAAGAAACAGATAGAAGGGCAGACATTTGAACGGACAATAGAGTAAGAGAGATACATTGATAGATAGACTGATAAAAGACAGAAAGAAGAAGCTACGATTTAGTCGTGACAAAACCTTCACAAAGAATGGAGTCAGACAAGGAGGAAGACGGAGGAATAAAGGAAGAGAAAGAGAAGAAGAGGAGGAGGAAGAAAGGAAGAAACAGACAGACACACATACCCATAGACAGACGAGCGAAGAGAAACAACCGAGAAGAGGAACAAAGTAAGGAAGTAAGGTCTTTCCCCCCTACCCCCCCCCCTCTCCCCATCCCCTCCCGAAATCTCTCAAGAAATCCCCAGGGAGGACGGGCCAAAACCCCCTTCAGAAGCGCTCACGGGTAAAGGAAGACAGAGGGAGAGAGAGAGGGGGGTGGGCAGGGCGAGAGGGAGAGAGAGAGAGAGAGAGAGAGAGAGAGAGAGAGAGAGAGACAGAGACAGAGAGAGAGAGAGAGAGAGAGAGAGACTGAGAGAGACAGAGAGAGAGAGAGAGAGAGAGAGAGAGAGAGAGAAAGGCGAGCGCATTTTCACGCCAGCAAAAACAAAGCCAAATCAAATATG